AGCATACTTAACTTGATTTATGTAATTCTTTTTCGTTTTTAAGGAGCTTTTAGCGACTACCAATTACATTTACCATATTTCGCTTAAGCTGATAACGGGACTGGTAATTGAATTTTCCCACAATCATATGAATTGCATTTTGCATAGCTTTGCTTCCCAAAAGCTATTCCCCTCCAGCTTGGACGGCGGCTAGCTCGCGGGACTCGAACCCAAAGAGTCTAACCGACACACGCCATAATGCTACCGAATTGTGTGTTTTGCAATTGTCGACTAGACTATTTGTTTCCTTTGTAAGTAGGCACTCGGCACTACCAGTTAATCGGTAGTGCAGTTGCCATAGAATTTCACATAGTCTTGCTTTAATCGAGGCCATCCTTAACTACACATCCGTTGTCTACCTGAAATTTAGATTGATTCCGGCCAGAAGAGACACCTGTTCTGGCCGACAAATGTGGGGCAATTGGTCAAATGTACAGCAAAGATTTCATACGAAAAAAAAGGGTGACAATCTTCCATGCAAAAAGCAGTCTGACTGTGTTTCTTTTTCCCATTTTCGCCCACTCCCGGGCCCGATGCAGAGCCGACCGTGAGACGTGAGTCCTTTTGCTGGTGAACCGGCGGCCGGGCAACTGCCAATCGCCCGCCTGCCCAGCGTCTTGACGACAATGCCAAATGGTATATTTGCATTACATTAGTACTCTCCATCTCCACGTGCACCACGTCATAGCAACGTTGGCTGAGCCACAGTAAGAAAGCCGTCGTTTCCTTCGCCTCGTCAGCCAATCACAACTGTGCTATGCCATTACTGGCCAGAACAGCAGCAAACTCCCAACTGGATTGATCGATTCTCCCAGGCCAGCTCGTCCCGGCAACAGTGGCTGTGGAAACCTGGTCCTGACAACTAAATGTTAGTCGCCAGGCCAACACTCAGGAAGTAGCCGGCTATCTGTGCAAACTGACCCGTTTGGGCAAGTCTCCTCTTCTCGGCTCTTTCACCCGTCACGATTGTGTACCCACATCCAGGCGTTATGGCTACCAACCTGGCGAATTTGACCCGGATTTTGGGGCTCTTCTGTGCTCTCCTGTCGGCCACGGCTTTGTGAAGCCCAGTTATGGAGTACCCACGACCGAGTCGGCAAGACTTCCACGTCACTCGGACTAGTTGCGCCCCCGACAACCGGTCGGTCGGTCGCCGTCTGCCTGACTCGGGCGTTTTGTCGACCTGTC